TATCACCAAGTCAAAGAAATACAAAAAGGGAAATTTGAAAAAATTGTGAGGCAGGTGAAAATGAAAACACAATATACCAAAATGTTAAAATGTAGCCAAAGTGTTCCCATAGTTTGGATGTCATGCTCCCTCTGAAACTCATGTTGAAACTTGATCCCCAAATTCAGATGCTGATGATATTTGGAAGTTGATCATAAAGCAATAATTGGCATTACACAATGTCATGAGGTGGGGCTGCCATGATGGAACTGGCAGCTCTATAAAAACAGGAAGACTGACCTCACATACGGTTTCCTGTCTTGCCATGTCATCCACTACTATTAGTGACAAGGCTTTTCTTAATTTATATTGCCATGCTGTGGGACTTACTAGCTTCCATAACCATGAAGCAGAAAAGTCCCTCTTTGTATATTACCAAGTTTCATGTGTTTTTGTTATAGCAACAGAATATAGACTGAGACAGTAATTCTAAGAGAGAAGCTTACTATGATAAACACTTGTAATGGAAAAGAAACAATCTAAATTAAATGGCATAACTTTACACTTCAAGAAATTAGAAAATGAACAAATGAAATATGAAGTTAACAGAAGGAAGGAAATAAAAAAGGTTACACGTGAAATAAATGAAAATGGAAATAAAAAAATGAACAAGACTGAGAATAGGTTTTTTTTTAAAAACAAAATTCACATATCCTTAAGACAAAAAAGAGAAAAACTTCAAATAAATAAAACATAATTGAAAACCAAGATTCAAATAAGTAAAATCATAAATGAAAACTCAGAGACAATACAATGCTTCAGAAATAAAAACGATCATAAGGGAAGATTATAAACAATTACATGCCAACAAACTAGGTAACCTAGAAAAAAATGAGTCTATATCTAGAGACATATAATGTAGAAATAATGATTCAAAAATAAAAAGGTGAATAATAAATCAGAAGACTAAAATAGTAATCAGAAACTTCCAAAAATGGAAAGCCCAGTGTCAAATGTCTTTACAATTACATTTGGCCAAACATTTATAAAAGAATAATACCAATCCTCCTATAATTTGTTCAAAGCAAAGAAAATTTTCTAAATTCATTTTATGAAGGCTGAATAACTGGATTTCAAAGCCAGAAAAAGGCAAATTAAAAAAAGAAAACTGCTGACTAATGTTTCTGATGAACATTGTTACAAAAATCCTCAACACTAGCAACTCAAATTCAATACACATTTAAAAAATTATTCATAAAGGCAAAATAGTATGTATCCCTAGAATGCAAAGATGGTTTAACATGTGCAGCAGTCTAGATGATACAGTATACTATCAGAATGAAGGATAAAAATAACATATCTTGGGGCTGGGGATTTAGCTCAGCGGCATAAACACCTGCCTGCAAGCAGGCGGTCGTGAGTTCAATCCCCGGTACCGATAAAAATGAAAAAGACAAAAAAAAAAAAAAAAAAAAAAAAAAAAAAAAATATATATATATATATATATATATATATATATATAACATATCTTTTTCAACAAATATTACAAAATTCAAAATCACTTGATGACAAAAGTTCTCAAGTTAGGTATAGAAAGAATGTATTTCAACACAATAAAAGACATGTATGATAAACAAACAAATAACATTGTACTTGAAGTTGTACTGAAAGCATCTGTTCCAACACATCTTTGAACTTTTGCTTCAACATCCTTGAAAAGCAAAGATATTCGGTTTCACCATTTTCATCTTGACCTTTCATATGGTTGTCAATGAAAAACTGTTAGAACTAATAAATAAATTCAGTAACATAGCACATATTATTAAGTCAACACGAAGATGTAACAATTGCATTTCTATATACTGCTAATGAGCATTCTAATAAGAAATTTAGCAAATAATCCCATTTATAGCATCAACAAAAAGAATAAAATTCCTAGGAATAAATTTAATCAAAGGAATAAGGGATGTGTACAATATACTGAAAAGCAAATTTTTTTTTTTTTTTTGTCTTTTTCCTTTTTATTGGTACCAGGGATCGCACTCACGACTGCCTGCTTTCAAGGCAGGCACTTATGCCACTGAGCTAAACCCCTAGCCCCGAAAAGCAAATCTTTATAAAAGAAATTAGGAAACTTGCAAACAATAGGAAACATTCCATGATCATAGAATGGAAGAATTAATATCATTAAAATGTTCTGTTACCTGCCCAAACCTATCTATAGATTTATTACAGTCTATCAAATTCTAATTGTATTTATTAGATTAGAAAAAATAAAGTTCTAAAAATCATATAAGCAATAAAAGATCTTGAATAGCCAAGAGAATTTTGAGAAAGAGAAAATGAGGCCTCATATTTCCTGACTGTAAGAATATATTTCAGATCTATAGTTATCAGAATAGTATGTGATTAACATAAAATCACACATATAGACCAGTGGAACAGAATAGTAGGTTTGGAAAGCAGCCATTACTTTTATAGTCAGCTATATAGAGTGCCAAGACCACACAGTGGGGTAAGGACAGTTATTTCAACAAGTAGTTTTGGGAAAACCTGCAAAAGAACCTGTCTTATGTTACACACACACAAAATCAAACCAAATGGATTTAAATACTTAAACATAAGACCTTAAATTATAAAATACTAGAAAAAAATAGGGCATAAAATTTTTGACATTGTTCATGGATATGACACTAAAAGTATAGGCAATAGAAGGGAAAAAAACAAACGAGACTATCTTAAATTTAAGAGCATAGAAAACTTCGAACAAAATTAAATAGCAACCTACAGAATGGGGGGAAAATATTTGCATCCACATAAGAAGGTCAGTACAGGAGATAGAGGAACACAGCAGTAAGAAACAAAGATCAGGATACACTTCTTACTAAAGAAAAGTTAAAATGACAAACCGGCTCATGGGAATGTGATCCATTATTCTAATTAATAGGGAAATATAAATTAAGACACAATAAGACGTAACCTCACAACCACTAGGAGCTATTATTAAAAAGCAAAGATACCAGAGAAGGCCTGGAGAACAGGGAACCCTTGTAAACTGCTGCTGGAGCCATTTTGGAAGATGTCGTGCAGGTTTCTCAAAATATTAAACATAGAACTAGCATATCACCTCCAAATCCCTCTATTTGATTTATACCCAAAGGAATGAAAAATCAATACTTTGTAGAGATGTCTTCAGTCCTATGTTCAATGTGTCATTATTTACAGTAGCTATGTTCGCTGACAGATGACAAAGTAATAAGCACATGACAATATAGTAGATACATGTGCATATGTTTCTATACCTATATGCATGTTTAAGTGTACGTAAACGTAAGTGAATTTCATTCAGCCTTAAAAAAGGAATCTTTGCCAACATGAATAAGCCTTATGGAAGATATCTGGCTAAGTGAAATAAATCAGCTACAGAAATAAAAATACTACATAAACTCTTATACAGTATTTGAATCCAAAACAGTCAAATATACAAAAAAAAGAGGAAAATGTTGGTTAACAGCAGTGAGAAAGGAAATATGAGGGTCACGGGGTACCAAATCATAGTTATGTAGGATGAATAAACCTAAAAGATTTATTGTACATCATGAAGATTATAATTAATAATAATATAATAAAATAGAAAAATTATTAAAAATATATATTTTGATGTCTTAATACATTGAAAAGAGGTAACTATGCGAAATAACACTTTAATTGGTTTGACTAAATGAATTATTTTATTTGTTCATATATATACATATATATAAAATTTTGTACATTAGTGATTGTTGTAAACAACACACAAAAATTTCTAATTGGCAATGCAATTTAGAATACATATGTATTCTAAATGTTTTTATATTTTGTATTTTCCCTGGTTATCAGAAATTTTAATGCATTTTTAAAATTTAAATATGAATATCTATACCAATTTTATAAAATATATAAACTCTGTTTTGGTATCAATTTTTTTTTACCCTCTAGTTCTATTGCAAATACTTTGTCTATTCCTCAGTTACTTATTCTATATTAATTTACTATATTTTCTTTTCCAAACTATAATAGTACTGGATACAGAGTATATAAAGGGAGAGAGAAGTGACTGGGAAAAAGAATGACATCTTTTGCCACTAGGTGATTTTTAAATTTTGTACTTTCATCAAAGAATGTGGTTCATGAATACTGAGTCTAAACTTTGAGTGTCTTTCCTTGTGATCTAGTATATTTGTATTTTTTAAGTAAATATTTCATGTATTCTTGATAAGAAAACTTTCTTAAAGCAATTCCATGAAAGAAACTTTCTTTCATAAGTGGACTTTTCTGTAGCCTTGTGCTTCTCTAACATACTGCTTCTTCAAACATCCAAGAATATATTTGGTAATTTTAATTCCATATGTCCAAGGTCTTCATACATCCAGTCTCTTCTCCAACCTTTCAATTATGATCCCTGAAGAATTCTCTTACTTTCTGATATGCTCAGTTCTGCATAGGGAAGAACATGTATTCTATTTTATCCAGTATGTTTAATGAATAATTCTGAGGTTATCAAATTATTAACATGAAAAATAAAGACAGCCACGCATGGTGGCACACGCCTGTAATCCCACCACTCAGGAGGCTGAGGCAGAAGGATCACCATGAGTTCAAGGCCAGCCTACGCCACATAGTAAGAACCTATCTCAAAAAAAAAAAAGTAAAGAGAACAAAAAGTTTTATACAAAAAGGAATAATAGATGGCTTGAAACTGCTGACTTATTAAAACATGTAATAGTAAAACTAATAAATTTATTTTGTTTATTAAGTTAGTAAAACTATAGGTACTGGCAAATCATAAGTAAACCAAGTATACATCTTTACTGCTTGTCAGGGAGGGCTGTATTTATTTTTTGTTCTTAGAAGTTCTACTCATGACTGTGTACATTGTTGACTGTGTACATTAGGAAAATTTTATTTCTTAATATCATCTATAATTGCTCTTTTCTTTATCTTAATTCACAGGAGTATATCAAAAGGAATTCATTGCTTACCAATTTGCTTTCTGTACTGATCAACCGGAAGTTTTGTAGTAGAAGCATCTTTTCTACCCATTTTTGATCTCCAAAATGCTTGCTGTAAAGAAGGAAAAGAATTATAATGAAATCCTTTTTTAAAAAATACTATCTACAAACTTCAGAAATAATTTATTCCTAAAAATTCATTGTTAAAGCATGAGTAAAAATGCCTTTGACTTACTTCCATTAGATATCCATAAAGAATCAAAAATTATTTCAAATAAATTATCAAGGATACAATTGCTAGTAATTAAATTCTCCAATTACTTATTCACGGTAACATTCATTTTATCAAGATCTATCAGTGCACAGTTAAGCCACACTGGGAGAGTACATTACCTGGGAAAATCCTGTGCTATTTACTCAGGTCGATCTTGATGCCGTGCCTCTTTCCAGCTACCTGCCAAGTTGCACAAAAACGGAGGGCTAATGTTTGAATCTCAAGTAGCTTATATTTTGTTTTAGAAAACATGAAATTTGTTGCCAAAGTGGAGAAATTTTGGTGCTCATTCTGCCTCTCTTAAAGAATAAATACTCTCATGGAGCACTATCATCATGCTTACTACATTGCATGCACTATATGTGTAATCCTCAATGTATTTTTCAAATCCTGTTTTTGATTGAATTTATATATTTCTGCAGAACCTATAATCTGCTCACCAAATCAATATTCTCTTTGTTTTATACTCCCTATGGTACTCTATTTTCTAACCTTAATTCAGATATATAACTGAGTTCTTATCAAAAGAATTTAAAAAAAAAGAATTTGAATGGAAGTAATGTGTCACTCTCAAACCTGAGCATTAAAAATTCCCCACGGGGTCGGAGATTTAGCTCAGCGGCATAAGCACCTGCCTTACAAGCAGGCGGTCGTAAGTTCGATCCCCGGTACCGATAAAAATGAAAAAGACAAAAAAAAAAAAAGGAAAAAAAAATTCCCCACTATAATTCCTGCATTATCCTTTCCTATTCTAATTGGCTACAGTGGAAATAAGCCTCAAATAAACATGAAAGATGCATTTGGAGAAACATGGAAATTTGTCCAGCCTGAGAGTAAAAGATAATATTTTCACTAATTTGTTTGGCACACTAGTAACCTACAATGAGAAAGGAATGCAATTCTGTGTAGTTCAGTTATTCCACATTTATAATTTATTACAGATACAAATATTTGCTGAAGTGATACAAACACTAGTACCCCAAAGTTGTCCCCCACTTCTTTGAGTAAGATGTTGTAAGGAAAAGAAAAAGTCAGGCAAGAACTGATCAGTTCACAAGCAAAATACAAGAGAACGGTAATTGGAAAATGAAGTTGGAAAAACCACCAAATAGCGATAAATAAAACCAAAAAAAATGTTTTAAAGAACAAAAGCCCTTCAAGATTCCTTGGGGGGAGGGATTAAAGTTACTGTATCACCTGAGCCTATTACTTCACATCACCTCAGAGTAGGCATTATTAAGGAGCAGGTAAGGAAGGAAGCTCAGAGCTCTGCAGCAGGGAAACAAAGCTAATGTGAGATTCTTTAAATCTCGGAAGGAAATCGTACGGCAGTTGTTGATATGTAGAGCTCACTAGAAACAGTAATAAGATTAGTAAAATTTGAGGGAACTACACTTACTAACAAAGTAGAAACTTTGTCTAAAAAGACTGTGAATGAAAATTAACCGTTGAGTCTCTACACTTAATAAATAGCACATCCCAAGGTAGGCAAACTCTGTAGAGTTTGTAGTATCCATTTTTTACACAAGCAGGAAGAGAAAAATCATCCAAAAGGCAAAATCATAGAGTGCAAATTCCAAAACAAGTCCTCTAAAACAACCACAATTAGGGTACTAGCAAGATTTTTCTGTTGGTGAGATTGTGGAAGCCCAGGTAAATTTCGCAGTCTGTGAACCTCACAGAACCAACTTGAGACACAGAGTACTGTGATCAGCTGTAGGTCCTTGGCTTGGAAATGGGTGCAATAGATAGGGAACTCTACCAGGTTCCTAATAGGAGGCACAGATTGCTATTTTAGAGACAGAAAGGTGAACGAACAGCAAGACCTGTTGGTTGTTCACTAAAATACACGTTCCTCACCCTGGGCACACTGGTCAACATCTCAGTTTTCTTAGCTGCTATCAATTAGCACATCACTAATTTTCAGTTTGCAAATTCTAGAACATAGCTATAAAATATTTCATGTGCACTCATCCATCTATCTGAAATGAAGATGAACTCTGTGGTGACTTAGGAAACCATGTGATAGAGACAGCAGAGAAAACTTTTTTTTTTTTTTTTATACAGGTTCTCACTGTGCAGTTCAGGCTGTCCTTCAGCTCATTTTGTAGCCAGGCTGCTCTCGAACACGAAACGATCCTCCTGCCTCAGCCTCCTGAGTGCTGAGATTACAGGCATGAGCCACCATGCCTGGCTTAGCAGAGCAGACTTTATCACAGCCTAGATTCTAAATGAGTACATGGAGCAGAGCTGTTCAACCAATTTGTGTCATTCTTTCATACTTCTTTGAAATTAAAAAAATAAACTTGTATCACTTGAGCCATTCTGCATTTACTTGTTACAGTACAGGTACTACTCCAACTAGAACAAAACTGTATAGCTATCTCCATATACACTGATAACAATTATCAAAGTGCAAATTTCCTAGTGAGCATTATTGAATGCCAAATGTGTGTGAAATCTATTCAGATTGAACCACATTATCTATCTATATATTCTCACAGAGATAGCTAACATTAATCCCACCCAACACAGTAAGAGTCATCAATAAAAATTTTTATATGTACAGAAGAAAAGTAAAAATTCAACTGCTTTTTTAATAAAAATAACCTTCAGTATTACAGTATCATAGCAATGTCTAGGAATGTAAAAAAATAAAGATGTCAAGAAGTCAAATAAAGTAAGTCTTCAGCTTTAACAAACTCTGTCTAAAATTACATGGAAGATAATCATCCTTCAAATTTTATAAATGACAAAAATATTTTCCTATTCTGTAGGTTGTCTCTTTACTCTGCTGGTATATGTGCAAAAATTTCCCATGATGAATGTGATCATTATGTACTACAAATATGTATTAAAAATACTCCAAAAATTTTATAAATGAAACCAAGACATCACACCTAATCCTATAGCTTTATAACTCAAAACACTATAAATAAATCTGTCAAGACAAGTAACATAAATAATGTCAATAGATATAATTTATTCACATAGCAATCCATTTGCATAGTGTTTGCATTTATTAATTGTAAAGTAGAGTTGTTATTTTAATCTTCATTGTGTGGGGATAGAAAAAATACCATTCCATTTCAGGACAAAAGTTAGTTGAAGTGAATAAATACACAATATAACAGTCCTTTATTTTGAAATTGTTCTTACATAATATATATATCTTTGTTTTTTAAAGCAAATTACTAGTTATCTGCCAAAATGGTTCCTCAATATGCTTTCCTGTCTATTTCCTGGTCATTTTATCCAAGATCCAAAGACAGGTAACACTTTAGAGGTTAATACGTTATTCATTGATTATCTGTAGTCTATTAAGAAGTAAAAGATCCACTGAAAATATTTTCTGGAAATTGAATTCTACTCATGCAGATCTGCTTTACATAGCACAATTATAACAAGCTAGAGTATTTAAATTTTATAAGGACCTGTATACTCTTAGCAAATAAGATACATTTTGCAGGTATAATAATCTCTGAATATAAAAATAGCAAAATCATTTCAACCAAAGAAATACATTAAAGAGAATGACTTTCAATATTTTTTCCCAATTTTTAGTGACTTTTAATACTTGCTTAAAATTTCAAAAAGTTAACTTTATTCTTGTCTTTACAACCATTTTATCCTATTACTCAAACAAAAACTACTTTATCAAAGATGAAACAAAAAATGCCAAGAGAAAGCAGTTCCTGAAAATGGCATACATTTCGTTAGCTGTAACAAATACAAGAAGGTGAAAAATATTTTACTAATAAACACATTAAAGCTATTTAAAATAATCTAAAGAGATATCCATTCATCTGCACAGTGCAAACTGCCAATGCCTCAGACATCTAGAACCTCTAAAGTGTTCTGACATTTCTTTGTTCTTCAAAGCCTTGCAGTAATCATCATTCATTTCTATTGCTTTGATGCTTAGATAGCAAACTCCCAAGAAATCCAGGGAGACATTAGCACATACAGCCTCAATTTCTAATAAGATAGCTATTTGCATACAAGATCAGCCACAATTTAAAATGTGTTGTGATAGATGTGGAAAGGGAATAACAGATTTATATTAGCATGTACAATACCAAGATTGTTTTCACAATTTAATTCCTAAGAGATAGTGTCTCATCACCTCCTTTCATAAAGAACAGTGCATTCCCTAAGGAACTAACTTGTTCTGAGACCCAGCTAAACTAAAATATGGATTAATAAGATAGTATTTATTATTTATGAATTTTTCTGTAGAAATGATTTCAGATTAATTCATCAGAGAACTTTTTAACATTTTTGAAACTTGATAACACATATTTGAGGAAGAAGGAATGCTAATTTTATTTGATACCTAAATTGCATATTAAAGTAATTCATAGCTAAATTTTTAGTTAATTAAAACTTTATACTTTGTAACTTTTAAGACTGAAGATAGCATTTTTGTTTTTAGTACCCTTCTTTTTTTATTTAGAGAAAAAAGCAAAACATAAAAAGGTAGAAATAATACAGCATTTTTTTAAAAAAGTAAGAAATCACTAGTTGATAAATTACATATTGCTATCTTAGAAGTAGTTGCTCAAGTCACAAAAGCAAAGCATAAAAGGTGGACAATGACAGTACAAACCATTCTGTTTGATGAATTAACAAAAACTTGGTAGTATGGTTATCTATCTTACACACTTAAACATACATACAGTTATATCCTTTACAGCACTTCCTTTCCCTTTCATTATCTCAAAGTCTATTATACATTTTGGATTTAGTATGATTTCTTAATACAGCAATTCTGACACATGAATTTTTAAGTATAATATGTGACCTTTAAAAAAAGGTAGTACTGTATTTTATTCACTCATATTCTGCTATTTTATTGTTCATTTATACCTTTTTTATGAAATCCAGATAAAAAAACTAAAAAATAAGAAACCCAAAGCCTTCACATATGTCTCTGCTTCCAGAAAAAAGCTTTAAATCCAGACTGTGACATTTAAATACATATCAAAACATAGGTTATTAAAAGATTCAACCCATGACCACAGAAAAATAATTATTTCAGTTTTAGAGATCAACAGAAAGATCCTTACTAGGAATAATTCTTGGCTAATCAAGAAGTTATAACTAAGCAGAAAAATATTTAGAATATTTAGATCAAAAATATTTAGATCAAAATGAGAACCCATTATGAAATATGATCT